AAATAAAGAAAATCTTTAAAAAAATTAAAAAAGAACTGAATGTGGTAAAGTTATATAAAGACAGAGCAGTAGAAATAAAATGAATCCATGATCAAAGAAAAAGAATGACATTATTAAAACTCAGGAATAAAAACTGATGTTTATGAATTAATTAAAAATTCTGTGAAATGAATAATTCCTATTGGTAGAAATTCTATTAAAAGTTATTTAAATTTTTAATAAGTCAAGGTTAAACAGTGTATAAGATATAGCAAAAAGTATCTATGAGTTTAAGGTAGATATGAAAATATAAATTGAATACAAATAATTCTCATGGAGAGAACTTTTAGAAGTAAAAATAAAATATTTCTAAAGTTTAACATATCAAGTTTAAACAAAATATTAAGTATACTGGAGAGAGAATTAGTGAATGGAATACATAAAGAAATTATAGATACGGAGAAGAGAATGATTTGGTCCAATACATAGCCCTTAATAATAGTGTCTAAGAGAAAACTGAAGAAGCAAAAGTAAGGAGGAAGAATCATTTCCATAAAAATAGGCAATACTTTTCCAGAATTTCCATATTTAGCAAGGTCAATAATTTCTGAGCAAAATTAATAAAAATAAATTTTCTAAACCTCAAGTTCATTACTATTACTTTATATTATGCATTAATAAGACCCAAAAAAGTTGATTCTCTGAAATGATTAAGCAATCCACTGAAAAATAGGTTAATTTAACAAAATAAGGATGACAGAAGGCAAAACTAAAAAATCCATAGTATGAAAAATTTCCCATAATTTTAGATACACACTAACTAAAATAAAATTAAAACTACAATTTAGAGTAGATTGGACTGCAAGAATCAATAAAACCAATAAACCAATAAAACTAAAAATGTATTTGCGTACCGGAGTTTAAGTATTATTAGTTTAAATATTGAATATTATTATTTGAAACTAGTACTTCTTGATGTACATTCAGGTACCCAAGCTCCTTACTCTTTGTGCATCCTCCATCCACCAGGGTTTTATGTCATCTTTACTTTGCTGATAGGAGACAAAGAGAGCTTGGATGAAGCACATTCATGTTGTAAATGCCTTGGTGTGGTAGTAATACACGACCCTTTACTCATAGTCCATTGACAGGTATCACGATATTAACATGTGGCCTGGCCCTGTGTTCAGGAAAATGAGTGAATCTATTTCTAGTGAAGGGTAACAGTCTGTGCCACAAAAACTAAGATGGAATAAGCCATTTGTATGACTTAGAAATATTCACTCAATACTGAGTGACACATAGAAAATCTGAATGGGGAATAAACTTATTAAAGATGTGTTAGGGGCACCTGGGTGGCTCAGATGGTTAAGTGTCTGCCTTCGGCTCAGGTCATGATCCCAGGGT